ATTTTAAAAGAAGTGCATCACTACTACTTCAATTACAATAAGATTTGACACAAAACAAAATAACAAACTTGAAAAAATTTTTAAAAATAACATGTTAAAAAATGCCCCCAAGAAATATGTTGGTGAGACGTCTATGAATTCAAATAATATATGAACATAAAAAAGATCTTTTCCAGAACAGTACATGTAATGCATTAGCCATTCATTATGATAAGTCTAACCATAATTTCAACTTGTAAAAATGCAGTTTTGATTAATGAGAATTTTTATAGTAAATTTACATCCAGGATCATACAACATATCACTTTTCCTCACAAAAACTATCATTGTTACAATGAAGCGATAATTGAAATAAACAGAACAACAGAATAAAAAGAACAAGATGATCAGCCAAATTAAACATCTTGATACATCAGATGTCAGGATTAAAATTTAAAGCTGAGCATATCTGTATATTTACTGTTTTGATGGAAACTGTAACTGGGATTTGTTGTATTTCTCTCCCATCATTTTTCATTCCTCCGTTTAAATGTAAGAGCAATTCCATCAATAAAACACTTATATATTACCAGATTTCGAAATAGAAATAGATGAGTGAAATTTGGATTGTTAAATATTGGACAGTATTTCATTGATTTATGAATGGGTATTAATTAATATTTGGTTAGATTAAAATCTAACATTGTTGGAGACTAAACAAAGAAAATGGAAATATTAGAAACTTTTCTCTTCTTCCAGGTAATTCATCAAGAATTAGCATCACAAAAGAATAACCTTAAGAAGCTGCAAACCAAAAGTAATGGTGTAAATGATGATTCTCCAAATAAGTCTGTCTCCAAAATAAAGAATCTTCATGATTCTTTAGTTTCTAAAAGTCAGGTAAATATATCTTTCATTTTAATATTAAACTACATTTCACCTCCTTACACATATGTTTTTCAATAAATATAAGCAAAGAAAAAAGTGTTGAACTGTTATGTAATATCACTCTTCCTATATGGTAGTGAATATTGGGCAATTTCCTCACAGGGATGTGATTCTACAGAATGATTCTGAGAATACCATGGATGGTGCATATGAGCAACAAGAAAGTTTTAAGGAAAATAGAAACAAAAAGGACTTTTGTACTTAATCAGAAAGAGAGAACTGAAATTTCTAGGATATACAGGGGAACCTTGACTTATGTCGGAAATCCATTCCTACAGCGCAACGTAACCTGATTTTCAACATAGGTTAAAACTCACCTACATAACTACTCATGAATCTGCCTTATACTTAGGAGCCATAATGAAGGGCAAAGGTTCCCTCCAAAAATTACACAAATGAGGGATAGCGAATCTAGCACATTCCAATATGGTGTACAGCCAGTGAAGAAACAATGCCATATTCCTCATAGAGTGCTGTGTGATGACTTATTACATTATGGGAGATGGTGCTGTAACCACGAAATGCTGTACTCCAGGTCCAATGTAACCCAAGTATCTTCTGTATAATGAAGGAGGAGGGTTTGAAAAATTTGACACTCACATGGCATATTGAAGGCAAGAGGAAGAGAGGAAAAACAGTGAGTAACCTAGCTAACCAACTCCAGGCCTTATCAACTCTACACTTATTTCAAAAGCTGCCTTCCTTGCCCACATTACAGACATTCCATTCACATCCTCTGTATCAGCAATACAATTTTACATTAACAGTTCTTGTCTTCTTTTCCTTTTGTTTCACTGGTGGTACTTGTTATTTTTGTTCTCTTATGCTACCATACACATGTTTATAGCATTGTGTAAATGAATGGTAGAACAGAGACTGAGAGGAATATTAAGGAGACAAACAGCAACAAAGGAGAGGATGAAGTGAAACAACATATTAAATGAGTCTTTGAAATCTCAACTGACTTTTCTTAGCTGCAAAACTAGAATTAATTGGAGAGGGCAACTTTGGGGGTAGTTTGTTACTTTTAATCTTTTTTTTTTCTAAAATTATTTTTTTTATATAGGTTTAACTATGAAACAGTTTACAACTCAAAGATTTATCCATCACTGATGAAAATGTATAAATATTAAAGGAATAAACAGTTCTCTACTTTACATATACAGGGTGGACCGAAAGTCTTGTTACCCCTACCAAATTGTAATGAGAACAATAGAACAACAAGTAATATAAAGCACATGTACCGCATTCAGTTTATTCACTTTCATTGATGCTGTCACGCATCAAGAATGTCTGTATGAATGCCACCATTTCCGTGGCACAAAATGATATGGCACCATGTCCTGTGTGATATTTTACAAAACTGTGCTTTGTTGATTGTTGCAAAGTCTCTCCGAATGGTGTCCTTCAACAGATGGGTATTCTGGTATCATTCACGTGAAACACTCTCATTGATAATGCCCCACAGAGTGTTGAAATAGAAAATTATATTATATTATATAGGGGTGACATGACTTTCAGACCACTCTGTAGTAAATTAATCACACATTTAACAGCCTTAGTAACACTTAATTCTTTTTCATTGACATTCAATTTCTTCCTGATTTGCATTGCATTTTTTATTAAAAAAAAACAAAAAACAAACTCTGTGCATTTCTATAGTAAAATGATTTGAATGTATTTACATTATTCATATAGGCTTATTCAGCCAGTAACACCTGCACCAATTCCTGACTACTAACAATCCCTTTTTCACTGATTTTGAATAAACATGTTACTGATAAATTTGAGTCTGCTAGAAAAATTACCATTCATATAAAGGTTTGATATGTTTCAAAATCAATCAAGCAACCGCCCAACCATGTATCTGCTTGTCCAATGATAGCTATTATTTTATTTAGGAATGAGAATATGGAATGATTTTGTTATCAGCATGCAGTCACATCTGAACATTGGGATCATCATCTTGTCTCCCTATTCTCTTTCTTTCCTCAAATGGCAGTGGTGTGGAGATGGCCGTGAACAAAGAGTTTGACAAGCCTATTTGTGTGAATTTAATTTTGTTGGACAACTGCACAACAAAAAAGCCTACACATTTGGCCAGAATTGCTTCCCTCACAGCCCAAAGGGGATTGAGACAGGCAAGATCTGACAAACCATGATAGTAAAGAGTCAAACATTGCTTAGAGCAACAAGGTTTAGGATGTTGTGGAGAGCCACAATCAGACATGTAATAATAATAATAAATCCTTCCATCTATTGAGCGAAGTTTTGTCTCCATTTCGAATGATATGAGATTTGTTCATTGGAGGTTTATTGACTGATTCTGTCACAATTGTAGATTTTTATGCAGTTGGGTTGCTGGTCTGATACATGACTATTTCTCAACTCTGCTTGATAGATGGCCTTAAAGGACGCCAACTACTCTATTTACATATAGCTGGGGGAAGAAATGGATTCATGCCTTTCCCAAGAGCATTTGTGCTAAGTGAATGTAAACAGCCTTGGTTGAAACTTAAATTCTGTTTACCGAATGTTTTCCAATATACCACTCCACACCTTCATATATAGAAATATGTAGAAACTAGATTAAAGGTGAGAATTAAGAGTTTGAAACAAATATATGAAGAGATAGAATTGTTTGATGAAAATTAAAATTTGGTTAAATTGTAGTCCTGGTGATGGTAGCTTTTGGTCATCAAATGTTAATATGTGATTAGTTAGTTTGTCATTGCAGCAGAAATATACCAAGAATGGAATATTGCTGCCATATTCAGGCAGGAGCAGCTCATTCTCATTTTTAACTTTGACAGAATTCAAAATCATTGATGCAGCCTTGTGGAGGATTATTTATTTTCTACTCTGCAGCTCATTTTCCACTTTTACACAACATTGCAAGTCTATTGCTACTTTATGGCAAATGTTCCAACAAGCTCCATTCTTTAGTTCCACCTCTTCAGAATTTTCAGCTAAGATTTGCCATGCCATGTCCACAGAGTTGAATCACCCTGATTCCTTTCATATTGCATTTGTAAGAAGGAAGTTTCAATCAGACAACTTCTTAACTTTGTGGAATAGACACCTATATAAATGCTTCCTCAGACACTAGTCTTAATCTCTTCAAGTCTAGGGACAATTCCTATCTATTCTCTATATTCTTCACTTTCTATTTCCTTTTCTTACATTCATATCTCATTCAGTACCCATCTACCTTTTGGGCCTTGTATTGCATGAACATTAGTTAAAAAATAAAGTGAAAAGAGAGAATTAGTATGCAAAAAAGGTTTCCATGGTAGGCAAAGGTTTTATGATTTGACATCTTTATTTCCTCTACTCATAGTTTTGGTGATTATCAGTTTTTTTTTTGTTTTGTTTTTTTTTTGTTTTTCCTTTTACACCTTGAGGTATACAATGGTTTTTCTCAATTTCCAAAGTTGGCGAAGATTTTCAATTAAAACAATATAGTGCATTTATAGAGCAAAATAATTTCCATTGAATTTTTCTTTGATATATTTAATCATGAAAGTAACTGAAAAGTTGTTAAATAAATTTTACCTTTTCTTCCACAGCTTTTGATATATTTAATCATGAAAGTAACTGAAAAGTTAAATAAATTTTACCTTTTCTAACAGCTAGTTTATAATGTAAACATAAATTTTGCTTTCTTGAAAATTTCAGGAGATTGTTGAATGTCTTGAAGAACATGTGAAAAACCATGCTGAATATCGTCAATCATACCTCAGCTGTTTGGAATGGCTCTCTAATGCTAAGCGCCGCCTGCAGCAAATTGACAATGTCTCTGGTGATTTACAGGCCATTCAAGAAAGACAGTCAATGCTCAAGGTTAGATTTTTTTGTCTTTATATTAACTTTCAAAAAAGTAAAAAAAAATATTTTTTCTTTCAAGTGGGTTGGTTTTAAAATTTCTGTATAAGGCTTTCAAAATTTTAATTTGCTTTTTATCTTTCCAAATAGTAGATTTACAAGGAAATTTTTAAAAAAATGAACTAAGATTATTGCTAATATTTGACTGGTCTTTCTATTTTCTATTGTCTTATTATTGTTGTGGATTATGTTCATATCATGTTGAAACACCAGTTCACCATCTGATCACTGAAGTTAAGCAACATTGAACCTAGTCAGTACCTAGATGGGTGATCACTGGGGAATACCAGGTATTGTAAGCTTGGTTGTGTGGGAGATGTAATAGATAAAGGCATGGAGTGAAAAATCGAAGTGTCGAGTTTGAATTCCAGTCAGGTTCATTATATTCAATTACATGTAGATACCTTTGGAAAAGGTATAAATCCACCTCTTCTCTTCCAAGCTATGAGTTAAATAGTAAGACTTGTATCCAAAAATAGTTACCTAAAAAAAAAAATGTTTTAGCTTTTTAATAACCTCAAAAGGGTTGATAAGCCTTAAAAAACAGCTCAATCAACATTATTATTGTTACTTTTTAAACAATTAAAAACATTAATAATAAGAGTAATGTATCTCAGAATTTGACTAATTGAAACTTTAATGTTTTTGTTAAGAAGTCACTGGAGATTGAATTATTTTACACTTGCATGCTAAACTAACAAATTATGACATTATTGGGAATACTGGTGTGTGCCCCTGCCAACTATCTAAAAATAGTGTACCTAGTACATATTTGCTTTATACCATTTCAGAGATGGCAGAATTCTGAAAAGTTCTTGCCCCAAGTAACATAGGATTCCAGAACAAAATCTATTTGGCTAGATTTTAGGAAGTGGGTCAGGTCAAGAAATTTTCAATAGCAACTTGTTACAGGGAAAGCTGTACTAATGTAGGACTTTCATAAAAAGTTTTAGCTGGTATTGGTAATGGTAATATTAGTTGTTTCCAGATAAGTAAACATTCAGCATTTACTGACTGAGCAGTCTGTGCTGCTTTCAATTGAAATTTATAAAGTCTTTGTATTAAAACAATTTTTCAGGAAAATAGATCTCTCAAATCTCCTGGTATCACTCTTTGCAGTATTGATAGTGGCTTACTTCTTTACCTTTTGTCTGAAGTAGTATAGAATATCAACATCTTGAATATGTCATTATTTTCTCTTTGAGTTACATTTGCTATTCGTTTTAGTTGTTGCTGTTGTTGAAAGTCCTCAAGTGATTGGTTTCTGTTATTTGCTAAAGTTTGTTTGCAATTCTAGGAGGTTAATGGTTTATCCAAAGTTGAAACTTTAGAAATGTGCAAGATATATTGTTCATTTCTGTTTGAATTTCTGGAATCAGTTGTCATTATTTAAATTTGGGCAAATATCCTAATCTTTGTTCTTATTATCAAAATGTTTTAACCATTGTGTTCTCCAGCCTTCTTCAGGTGCTTGTTGATTTAGGTAATTTTCAAGGAAAATCAAAGTTATCACTTTATTTAATCTATGGAGTAGATTGTTCTCATTTCACAAGACATGTCTAAGGATACCATATCTTGTTCTTATTTAGTACTGCTCAGCTATTGCCTGCCCTGTTTCTGCTAAATCTATACTACCCAGCACACAAATATTCATTATTGAAGAATTTTAATGAAATTTATCTACAGTTTTGGACCACTTTCTGGTTTCCAGGGAAAATTTGAACATAAATTACATTAGATTATAGAATCAGTTAATTTACCATTTATTCAATCATAACACAATTAAATCACAACCAAATAATTATTTTTCAATCCCAAGTATATTTTGAAGGGTTGATAAACTGTAAAAAAAAAAATCAATTGTGTACATTGAACTCTGAGTAGAGGCCAGCTGTTGGAGACATCTTCTTTGTGAATATGTTTGTATATATATATATATATATATATATATATATATATATACAGGGTAGGATGGGTAAATTGTTGCCATTTATATTTTTAATTTTGTGCATGCATGTTGCTTGTTATTGATTTTGCTGACTGCACAGGGTCATTTGGGCTCCACCTGTGAGAAAAAGAGTATGATAACAATTCACTCTGTCAGAAATTTGGAAATGGAATGGTGTACTGGTTGGCATTTTCACTGGAAGCTCCAATACAACCATTTCAAAGTGTTTGGGTGTCAATCTGAGAACAGTGCAGAGGATTCTGAAGGAGTTTGATGCATCTAATGGTGATTATGAAGGTGTTTGGAGTGATCACTAGTGATGGCAATATTATGCCTCCACTCAGCTTTCCACAGGGCCTGAGACTCAAATGGCAGCCTACATCAAGTGCTTTAAGGAGGTAGTGCTGCCCAGGATCAAGAGGGTGGCTGCTGGAAGACTCTGTGTCTGGCACCAGGACTCTGCACCATGCCACACAAGCAGGGAGAACCCAGTCATGACTGTCAGACAATTTCTGCAACCACATTACTCCTTACATCTGGCCATCTAACTCCCCAAACTGAAACTCCCTTGATTATTGTGTGGGACGCAGTTGAGTGAGAGACCAACAAAACTCCTTGTAACACCAAAGTTGAACTGGAGGCAAAGATTTTGGCAGCATTTTACTCTTTAGTATTTCAAGATATTTTTCTGTAATTTTGGTAAATATATCTCTTAAAATGAGATGTGAATGTTATTTTCATTTTTGTGTAAGATGACAATTTATCCATTGCAACATATATATATATATATATATATATATATATATATATAACAGATTTAAAGCAAATTAAGAGAATAGGGGAAGAATGTAATGTCATTGCTAACAATAATTGTATCTAGTTTCTTATCACTGTTTTATCATTAAGTTATTATAAATTAAGGCTATTAACTTCATGATTAATACCTGTTTCATTATTCTCCTTGTATTTTATAATGAATTCTGATTGTTTATTTAATAAATTGCACTTTCCACTCGTCATGTCACTGCTGCTGTTAATACATTTTAATTAATTTCAGGAGTTTCAAAGCAGCCTCTTCACAGGTGAGCATTTGGTAGAGAACAGTTGCCAGCTAGGTGAGTGTGTGTGTAAAAACACAGCACCACAAGGCTGTACGATAATTCAACAGGAATTAGAAACACTGCAACAGGAATGGAAGACGCTCACTATGGCTGTTAAAAAATCCCAGGAGAACCTTAATTGCAGTCTTTCAACTTGGACAGATTTTGAGAATGAATATGAAACTTTTGCCATTTGGTTTGAGGATGTAGAAAAAACGTCCAAACAATTACTTGACCCAAAGTCCAACCTTGCTGACAAAAAGAAACAGCTACAAGAAGCAGAGGTAAGCATTTTATGATTCTGATTTTTTTTTCTTCTGATATAGAGACGATAAGAATCAGCTGGATTTTAAGATTGGGGTGGGTATCAGGGTATTGAGGAATTGTAAAATATTGTCTTGACTTGGTATATTTGAAATCAGACATTAATTATTTATATAAGTCTATTCTGTCAGTAACACCTCTCTTAATTCCTGATCACTGACAATCATTTTTTCTTTGGCAATGCTTTTCTGTGGTAAAAATCATGAAAAGTGCATATATATATATATATATATATAAGGTTGCTTAACTTTAACTTCAAATATCAATTTTTGTTGTTTTCCCCAACTTTGAAGATTTTTGGTAATCTATTCTTCAAGGGGTTCTGTTTTAATTTATTTATTTTTTTTTTTTTAAATGATTTTTTTCAATTTGTCTTTTTTAATCTATTTTGTACACATGTGCATTTATGAATTTAACTTTCTTTAACATGTGCATGTTCATGAATTTTTGCTTTTTATGTTTTCAATTGTAAGTCTTGTCATTTTTTTTCAGTCGTAAATTTTTCTTTGACATTAAATTTTTTTTTTTTAATGTTTTATATTATATCTGCTGTTTCTTAAATCTTATATGGAGAGAGAATTCAAATTTTTAACAATATTCAATCACTTTACTAAAGTTTAATCTGCCAAATTGTTCAGGTAAGAGAGCAAATGTTTTCTATAAACTTAAAAGTGAGATATATATATATGTGAGTGTGCGTGCGTGCGTGTATGAGCATAAAAGTTAAGATTACATGGTGACTTAGTTTCCTGCTTCAAGTGATCTCTAATCACATGGTTTGAGGATTGCTTGAGGTGTGAAACTGACAGTCACCATGCAATGTTGATTTCTGTGTCCATGCTATGTATATCTTCAAATGCTTTATCTCCTATATTGAGTGTTCTCCCCCATAAATATGACCAGTTATATATATAAAATGTGTGTGTGTGTGTGTAATGGTAATTCACTATTTGCAGATATTAAAAAAAGAGAGACATGTTAAACCATGTACTTTGTGGTATAGGCTAAGATATTTATACACAAACACATACAAAGAATAAACCAAGTAATTTGTAAAGCAACAAAGAACATCGATACCAAATATCAGTCCTGTCAAAGTAGAAAACATGAAATAAAAGAAGAAAAAAAAAATAATAATGAACAGCGACCTACCTAAACAAAAACTTAAAGTGCTCAATGCCTCTAGGAATAAGTAAGACAGAGCCGTAGCAAAAACAAATGCCTTACAGTGATCAGGGACTATCCAAATCCTATCCACACTATAATTATCAGTACAGCATGAAACTCACACTTACAATTTATATTAGAATTTCTAGGCTGCACCAGAGGTAATTTGGCCCAACACTGTAAATTGCTACAAAACAATAATCTGAAAACTCATGTTCTTAAATAACCTGATCAGATTGAGACTTTCATACGGATATCATGCGTGTCGCCAGACCGGTTAAGAAATATCTAAACTCTCAGCTGTATACAACTGCTTTCTAAGATCAATGGTTAAAAAGTATTCTAACTATTTACATTGTTCGAACTGTTCTCCTCATCTTTATATGCACAACATTATGGCCATTGTACACTCCAGCCTTCTTCAAGTGATATATGTTGGAATTTCAAACTGAACCCTTTATTTCATCCACCAGGGTAGATTGTTCTAGTTCTACATGTCATACCTTTTCTGGGTACCTCAGTTTCCATTATTTTCCTTTAGTAACTGAACTCTCCAAGTTTTTGTTGACCTCTGCTGTGACCAGGTATTGAACTCACAACTCTTTGGTCAAGATGACTTCAACAAACGCTTTTATCCACTAGGCCATGTGCCAATAAAGATGACAGCAACAGTCCGAACAATGTAAATAGTGTAAATTGTTCAAGTTTAGTCATCAAATACAATGTGCGGCAGAAATACCTCGCACTTAATGGTAAGATAT